GGACAGTCAGCGAAACCCACCCATTCAATTTTGTTTTATGTTCCGGTGTGTTGCTGAATCGACTGCTTCTTCCGAATTTGCTATGACAACCTCTGGCTACCTTGTCATACTGTCATGTATTAGAAAATAAATCCACGTGTATTTCTTTAAATACTTGTACAAATAGTGCGGTTTGCTGCTGGTTTAAACGGCGTTTTTGCAGTAGCGCCACTATTGAGAACTTAAGAAAGTACTCAGCGAGTACCTTTACAGCTACCAAATCTAGTCTCTAGTCGGATTGAAGGAATTTTTCTTCGTATTCGTTCGAACTTTTTATCATTAATAATAACAAACTGGCGGTATACTGAAGTATTAAAAAACAATTCATGAATGCCATAGTAGAAAAAACATCATGATATAATTATATAATATTATAAATGGGAATGTAACTATATCTGTCTGTTACGTTTCACTCCTAAACCACTAAACCAATTTTGATGTATATTGGTATAGAGATAGATGGGACTTACGAGAAGAAGATAGGCCACTTTCAGTCACAAAAATTAATCTTAACGAGTGTGATATAGGGAATGAAATATATCCATACAAATATGGAGATCTACAATAGGCTACTCGACGTACTTACTTATTCTACAGAAACCAAATCGCGGCCAGCTAGTATTCAATAAAAATGAAAGTATTTTGTCAATAAAAAAAGTCTGTGCTGTACGTACGTACGTTTCATAAAAAGAATTAAATATAAGATAAAAAACACGTAAACAAAGATATTTCCAATTTTAGTTTAATACCTTATATGTCGAAAGATTTTATAATGATTTTGCAGCTTCATTAACAATGTTCTGTCACAATGCAATCAAAGTAAATAATCTACGTTGGCCGCAGTGTATTTCCGCAAATTTCTCTCGCCTCTTCAGTTTAGATGCGGCCGCTCCACGTCTTCATTGTATATTCTATAAAAAATAATAGCAGTATTTTGGTGTATAAGGTAATAAAAATAAACAAAACGGCCGATATAATGCGGCCCGGCCGGGGGCGATGAAAAATAAATAAAAACGGGGCGCGCCGGGAAAAATGAAAAGCCACTTAGTTCCCTCCCCTCCTCAGTTGAGGGATTTAGCACAAACTGCCTCACCCCCTCTGGAATTTCCTGGGAGTTTCCCCTACATTTCACTCAATATTACCCTAATTTACTTCGTAACGCTGAGCCTTTTCTATAAGGAATAGACGAAATAAGTAGTGTTAGATTTTCACTACTGTGAAGATTTAACATAGAGACGACACTCCAGTGACTGATAAGAATTATATACATATTATAATCTTTCACATCCAAACAAAACAAAACCACGTCCTTTCTCGTAAACGATGTTTTTCGCCTGTCAGCAGTTTTATACGATGATGATGATATCGATTTATTTCTTATTTCGATAAAACTAATCCTTAATGACGCAAAGTAAGTTTTCTAACAAAATAAAATAAATTAATGTCACGATTCGTAGTACACTAACAGTAGGTACTTAAAACTTTTGTTTTAACTTTTTATTTGCTGTGATTACACACACTTCTCTGCTAGGTATACAGGATGTAAATTTGAGACGGGGCGGCAAGGCCGGCTACCTTAATCGTTGTAGTTAAATAAAAACGGTTCTAGAAGACTATCCATGAATTTTGAAGATATATTGATTGGCATTCACAGATTTTGAAACAAAGGCACAGTCAGCAAGATAAAAGGCAATTTATTCAAAACTTTTTTTTATGCCATTCGATCTGGTCTCTGGTAAGGATCAATAGTCTCTATGGAACCAACTGAGGTAAGAGTACTCGAAACGTCAGAAATCGCAAATAACTTTTTAGCACACATTTTGTAGGGACATATCTAGTCATCAGTTATTCTGGGTAGTTAAGGAAATTAACAAATTGTATACGTATTATGTATTTCAAAATAAAAACAATAACGAAAAGCAAAATGACATAAAAAATATATGATAGTAAGTGATCGAATTGATTGCCCCCTTGGCGGATGCATGGATTCGCTCTATTCCGCAAAGAGCAAGTAGCGGCTGAAATTTTACTCCAATTCATTTGTTTCCATATTTTGATTAAAAATCGTATTAAAAGTGACAATTCTCTATTAACAAAACAAAACAAAGCTGTTCGAAATTTAAAAAAGAATGTTATGATTATAATTTGGTTTTACTTAATTCTTATTTGTAGACTAATTTGTTAGCTTCCTTAACTACCTTGAATAACTGATTACTAAATATGTCCCTATAAAATGCATGGCAAAAAGTTTTTTGCGAGATCTGACATTTCCAGTACTCTTACCTCAGATGGTCCCATAGTGACTATTGATAATTACCAGAGGCTGGATCGAATGGCATAAAAAAGTTTTATATAAATTGCCTTTTATTTTGCTGACTGCACCATTTTATGAAAATCTTTGAATGCCAATCAAAATATCTTCAAAATTCATGGAAAGTCTTCTAGAAAAGTTTTCCTGTAACTACAACGATTATGGTAGCTGGCCTTGCTGTCCCGTCTCAAATTTACTCTGTATATACATACATCAGCTTGTAATACACCAAACTCGGATTTAAATAGCATACGTAGCAATAAAAAGTGATTTAATAATTAAGTTTTTCATTATCTACAATTATATATAAATATGTAACATATAATTATAAATTACAATTAATAAATTTATTTAACATATTAATATTTCAAGTTATAATTAACCATTTAAAAAATCAACGATTATATTAATTATAATATGTATTGGTGATGTGATCTTGGACGTCTACTAATGTAAAAACTATAAATATTTAAAATTGTCTAATCGTCAATACTGTTCAATAATCAAATTGTTACACAATCGATAGATTCCCTAAGAAGAATGAGTAAGTAACACAGATCACATAAATACTAGTAATGTAAGCTCACGAGTTGCTCAAAAAATTCAAAATTCAAAATAATCTTTATTTCATAGGTAAGCATTATTACACTTGAAATCGTCACAATGGTTAAACTCTACCGCTCATTCGTAAGGCAGATTCCCCTGAGAAGAATGAGCAAGAAGCTCTAGGGGTTGCTCTTTGTAAATAACATTCACAATTTTTTTTTTATTTTAAACATCAGAGATCGAGACTACCTCCATGAGCTAAACGGGTTACTACCACGGATTTTTGTCATCCAAGTACGCAGAAGTTGTATAATAACCTTTAGTATAACGTTTTTGTTTCACAATAGTTTTAAACCTCGTGAAAGGCAAATCTTGTTATAGAAGCGTATACATTGCCCCTTAAATGATTTTTTGACTTTGTGAAGACGACTACCAAGAAAAGCTACTTTATTTCTATTCCTCGTATTAATGGTATGTCTGTCACTATTTTTCATAAATAAATTACTATTCCTTTTAACATAAATTACATTTGCATAAATGTACTGTGAGGCTAGTGTAAGAATGTTAATTTCCTTAAACTTATCTCTCAAAGATACTTTGGGGCCCAGATTGTAAATTGCCCTAACTGCACGTTTCTGCAGGACAAAGATTCTATTGATATCGGCGGTATTACCCCAAAGCAAAATGCCGTATGTCATTAGACTGTGAAAGTAGCTGAAGTAAAACAATCTAGCGGTTTCGACGTCTGAAAGTTTCCTTATTTTTTTAATCGCGTACACTGCAGAGCCGAGCCGTTTTGATAAGTTACTTATATGGGGACCCCATTGCAATTTAGCATCTAACGATATACCTAGAAATACAACTGTATCCACAAGATTCAATTTTTCGTTTCTAACTACAATGTTTTTAACCGTCTCTCTAACATTGGGTAATGTAAATTTCACACAATTTGTTTTTTTCTCATTCAGAAGTAGGTTATTAACAGCAAACCAATCAACTACTTAAGATATAGCATTGTTCACATCGTCGTAGGAACATTGGTGCCTATTAACTTTAAATAATAAGGATGTATCATCAGCAAACAATACTATCTCATGTGTTATACCCTCCATAAGGCTAGGTAAGTCATTAATATAAACTAAAAATAAAAATGGGCCTAGAATTGATTCTTGAGGGACACCCATGCTATTTGCAGATCCTGACGATCTCGTACCGTTAACATCGATCCTCTGTACCCTATCACGCAAATACGATTTAAGAAGGTCGAGATCACGTCCCGCCACACCATAATGGCGAAGTTTCCTGACCAGTGTATCATGGTGCACACAATCAAAAGCTTTGGAAAGGTCACAGAATACACCAATAGCATCATGTGAGACTTCCCATGCATCAAATATATGATTAATCAACTCGACGCCAGCATCGGTTGTAGAGCGACCCCGAGTGAAACCTAATTGTTTAGGAGAGATTAAGTTATTACTATAAAAATGTGCACACATCTGATTTAGAATAAATAATAATTCATAATATCTTTATAATAAATAATAATTCATATTTATTGTTTACAGTAATTAACCGAAATGTGTGTCATTAATCAATATTTATTGTGAAACTAGTGTTTTCGGATCTAACTCGTGTAATTATTACAAAGAAAAAATCTAATACCCAAACCTCAAACCTTTGCCTAGCGTTAGGACGCAATAGATTACAAATAATCTTTTTTTTTTTTAACGTCAGGAAATCCTCATGGATACCCTCCGCCCGAGGGAGACGAAGGGTTATGTCGGACTCCTACCGACTAAAACCTGACGGTGTTCCCCATTCTTCCGGGACCCCGGCGGTGAGCGGTTCGACAGGTAGTCGAACCCCGTCTCGCTTTTCGGGGAGGGATGTTACCTCCCCGTCAGCCGTCTTGAGAGGCGGACGTGGAACACGTACGCCGCCATCTCGGGCCCACCTGTAATGAGCGACAGTCTCCCCTAAGACTGCCGCTCATGGGCCCATCTTACGGGGGCTGGAGGTCGTCACGCAGTCGCCTGCGCCCTGTTCGGATAGAAAGGGAGGTAGATATTTCCCTATCACGTTCCGAAGCCTCCTTCTGCGACTATACTGTTTCGCAGAAGGACACCACCGCTTCCCACAACCTGTCACTGCCGACCATAGCACGCACTAAAGACGGGAGGGAGAGGTCGCTGCCTACTGCTGCCACCAAGTCATGTCGCGGTTCCGCCCACGCTGGGCATTCCTCGACTGTGTGCCGAGGAGTATCCTCGAGACACATGCAATGGTGGCATTTCGCCGTGGGCTCTCCTCCGGCTATTCGACACAGGTACTTCCCGAAACAACCATGTCCCGAGAGCACCTGCGTCAGCCGGAAGGTAAGCGTACCATGCCGTCTCTCTAGCCATTTATTTAAGACTGGTAGAATAGCCTCAATGGTTTTGTGGCCGGCACTGGGGTTCGTAAGTGATTCCTCACAGTCTGATACCGCACTTTGGCGAATCTCTGACCGATGACCCTGCATTTCCCGTGGAGCCAGTCGGTCACCTCGTTCATGTAGCTCCTTTCGCCAGAAAGGTTACAAACAACCTAACCTAACCTCCGGTTAAAAAAAAATCCGGCCTCAAAAGTCATTCATCCCCTAGTTTGCTACCCTCAGAGGTGGAATATTTTCTTGAAATTTAAATGGGACCACATCTGATTCTTTCCAACAAAAAAAGAATCTTCAAAATTGGTTCACAAATGGCAGAGTTATCGCTTAACATACATAAAAAAACACTGACGAATTGAGAACCTCCTCCTTTTTTTGAAGTCGGTTAAAAAAAACAACCTCACTTTCCAGTATTTTTCAATCAATGTTAGGCGATTTTGCCGCACCATATAACATTTCACGGATTCTTCACGGATCTTTAATTTTAATGACTAAAGCCGATTTTAGTGATCTAGAAGACGTTTTACTTTTTGCGATTCAAGTGTTTCTAATACTCATAATCTCAGTACAGAGTACTATAAAATACGACCTCCAAAGTCATTCATCCCCTAGTTTGCTACCCTTAGAGGCGGAATATTTTCTTCAATTTAAATGGGACCAGTTCTGAGGTACCCTCTTTCTATCTAACAAAAAAGAATCATCAAAGTCGGTTCCGGCCGGCCGGAGTTATCACGTAACACAACAAAAAAAACGTACTGTCGAATTGAGAACCTCCTCTTTTTTTAAAGTCGGTTAAAAACAGCATTTCTTTCAATACTTCTCGTTGAAGTTAAAATTGCTAAAGTTTGGGTGAAGCTTCATACTGGTACCATTCGTTATAGCAAAATAAGTGAGAGTACTTACATATAACTTAATGCATTTTCATCCCACATAATATATTTCTGCAACGAAATTTACGAGCACTAATGACATCGGTTGGACGAGTGGCGAATCGGTTGGGGCGCCATATTTCTTAATTTTCCCGTTACACTTTTCCGCCATATTATATGTTTTTGCGCCATTTTTGTTATTAGCTTTTAAGGTTACTAACTCAAGTACAATATATTTTGTAACAAGGTTACGTAAATACATTATGATGTATATTTTTAAAGTGTATTCAGGACGTAAATAATCTCATTGAGTAAAACGTAGTTAATTCGGTTTGTGAATGGATTTAATTATCATATTATTGTCACCAATGACAAGAATGGTTGCCAATTGTAACTCAAAAGAACAGTTCCATTAAACCCTTGACTTTCTACACTTACAGTCCCCAATTTAGTAGCAGATGCGACAATCAAAACAAAAGCCGGTGTTGATTGCGGGTGAATACATCCCGATAATCTTTTATAACTATTCAGTGTCATCTACCCTAATTGTAACGTACATTGACGCTCCAGTACCCAAAAACGAATAGGGAACGTTAAAGAAGACGGGAATGGACTACGTCAACGTCGAGTAGATGGGTCAAATGTTGCCGAAATAAAGATAAGCGGTCGATAAGAATAATTGAAACATGTGTCGCGCCGTTCTGACGGACATTGTTCCTCTTTTTACTTATCTACAATTGACATTATCTCAATGCAATAAAAGCTGTTAAACTGACACCTGTCATTCATGTGTTTTCGGTTATTTGGCAAAGCATTAAATGGGTTAATGGATGAAAAAACTTTTTGGCTGATAACAGGCGGTTCTCTTTGTAGCTTAATTAACCCTTGAGCGGATATATTTAATGCGAGTTACTAAATTAAAAACTATATTCTGGACTGTAAGCATTTTTTTATTTTATCGACACGTTTACGTCCCACTTCTAAGCATGTGCTCTAAGCACAGAAGGAGTTTAAACCAAAGTTTACGACTTTCATTTATTTAAGTAAAAAATTGTTTGCCTAACAGGTTCAGAGTACATGAAATAAAAAATAAATCCTTTTTATCAATATCTCAAAATCTTTATTCTTATGGCGCAGTCACAAGAGCTATACCATCACTACTGAAAAATAACAGTGGAATGCAGTTCGTAATAATAACTACCACTTAAATGTAGTCGACAAACAATACTAGAGACTAATTTTATTACAAATAACTATACATATTCGAAGGTGTTCTATTTATGAATGGATTGTTGCTTTTAAATAGCCGTTTCTTAAACATATATTTTTAAGCTTGTTGGAACATAACACTAATGGATGACTCGTAAATCCACGCTACCTTATTTCCTGTGGTTTAGTTCACAACATTCGTTTTAACGCAAAAAAAAATTTCGAGCATTTTTAATGATCGCTATCATAATAAAATCAGCTTCAATGCGGGTATTCTAATAAACATTGACTATACCTATACTTTATGAAGCGTTAGTGTACACTGTTTTTATATAAAAAAAATAATTCTTGACAGCTTATATTATTTACCACTGTTCTATGACATAGTGACTTTACAATTTACGACCAATATTTATACTTGCCAAAGTATTTACTAAAAGACATTTTGAAAAATAACAGAAAAAGTGTGTTTCTTTAAGTGGGAATTAAATGATATTTGCAGGGTTGCCAGTTTTCACAAAATTTCAAATAGTCATATAGTAGTTGTCGACAATTGTATCGATAGACCGTGAAAGAAGGAAAAATAATGATTAAAATTCTTCAAAAAAGACAAGCTATAGTTTACCGTTGTTAGCAAGCTTGATAGTTTTGAATTCAAGGTTCAAGGTTGTTGTTTAAAGGAAACTACGGTTAACTCATACCGATAAACCATAGCGGGCAGGCAATCAAAGCTGGAACACTGAGCGTCCATGTCCCCCGCCTCTCGAGACCAAGTCCCTGGCGGGCTATCATGGTTAACTCGCGCATCTGTCCTCTGCACGTGTGCTTATATCTACACATGTCAAAATGATCTCATAGCTATACCTAACATATCTACACTTCACGCCCTTTTCCTGTCGGGGTAGGCAAAGACCACAGTCTTCCACTTGCTATGATCCTTATACTTTCGTTCACGCTCGTCGGTTGAGGATGACCTTTTATCAGGCCTGTCTTTAAAACGTCCACGTTTATGTCTAAGTAAATTAGGAATTAAATACAAAATTGTTTCGAACGGCGAGTACCCCGTACCTTACATTTTATGAGAAATTCGTTTACACTTAGGTTGAGATTTATAAAACAAATTTAGACTTCGACTAAGCAAAAATAACGATCTAAGCAAGTTTTTCGTTATTACAAAACGAACTTTGCCGAAGTTGAAGTAAGAAATTACCATGTAAACTCAAAGTTTAATTTCATTTATTGCTTAGATTTAGGCGAAGCTCGTTTTGTAAATACGAAAAACTTTCTTAGTTCGCCATCTTTGCTTAGTCGAAGTCACTGTTCGTTCTATAAATCTTAGCCTTAATCTATATTATGGCTGGCACAAAGTTGTGTTCATGTGAAGTAACAATGGCTTCAGCTTTGATTCATTAGCAGCAGACATAAATCCATATTCTATAATGATAGCCGAATTCAATATTAACCCGTCACACCAAAATACGGTGTTCCATACGATTTTGATATTGTAGCGTACCAGAGCTACACGGCGTCTCTAACGTGCAGCTGTATTCCATCCAAATTTTTTTAAAATTTATAAATATTGTATATTATTCAATTTAAAAAAAAGAGTTAATAGCGACATCTCTAGCCAGGGCTGGTAGCTGTAAAGGTATCTAACTAGGTGACGAAATATTTTCATACATTTCTCATAGACGCTACGGCAAAAAAATATTTGAAAACCAAATACAAAGATCCGACAACAAGCACATAGCACAATTCATGCCTTAGTTGGCATAGCGTCTGGCACGGTTTACTAGAAGATGTCGGTTCGAATCCGGCCGTATCGAAGGAATTTTTCTAAGTGTTCGAGCTTTGTATGACAAACTAGTGGAGTAATTTCAGAAAAAAATAATTGATATCATTTCAATAAAAAATATTTTAATGTTAAGTTTATTGAATATCACGATGTTTTACTTCCATGATATTAATACAAATGACGAACTACTTTGTAATTATTACACGAATGACTTTTTAATTATTACAATTATTAAAGCGACATTTCTAGTCAGCCGCTGGTAGCTGCAAAGGTACCTGGCTGAGTGAAGGAAAACTTTCATAAATTTCGCACACTCATTCGTCATTAAAAACCAAAAACAAAGATCTGCAACAAGCACAGTATAATTCATAAAGTCTACTAGATCGTTCCGTAGCTCAGTTAGTAGCAGCAGAGCTCCTTGTGAAAGAGTTCGTCCAGGCAAGTATTGCCACCTTACCTATTTCTGCCGCCAAGCAGTAATGTCAGCATTACTGTATTCTGGTTTGAAGGGTAAGGGTGCTGGTGAAATTACAGGCACGTGGGACTTGTCAACTTATGTTTTAGGGTAACGTGCGCAGTGGCAGTGTCCTTCAGATCTTTGCTATTTAAAGCTCTGAGTGTCACTATAACTGTTGGACAGGCGTGTAGCTTAGCATCAGGCGCACGACTAGTTCGTCCTGTCCCTTGACATTATAAAAAAAAGCGTCAGGCACGGTATGCTGAAGGTGCTGGATCCAATATTTGTATTCATAATTTATAAATATTTCTACCAAGATCGTTAGGGACGCCGTATGTCTATAAGACGTGAGACGTGTTAATTTGAGCGTGGTGTAAGCCTTTAGCCTGACCCATTTACAAATTATATTAACCAGCAACATAGAATGTTTCATGTTTACTTAACACAAGAATATAATTTTTATGAACTCTACAAGAGCAGCGCTAAGTTTCATCGCAACTAGAACTTCTAACAACGAAGTGTATCTAAAGGGTTTACCCCAAAAACTGTCAAGAGAAACGATTAAGCAACATTATCCCTAACCCGTTCCCAGGCAGGCGTGACCCATGACGTTACGTGACGTCACCATCATGACGTCGGACTATCAATCACAGTGTTGTATTCGAAATCAATTGCGCCGCGTGTCGGTCATCCATCTTGTGTTATCACTTATCAATATTTATAAAACATTAGTAAGGGTTCGTTTTTTATGTAACGACGATTA